TACTACTACTACTACTACTGCAGTGGTTTCGGATCCGATTTCAAGCCTGTCTTTCCTCCTTCTCTGCATCTTGGCAATAAACAAAATCCATCAGTACACCACCGGATCATCACACTTTTGGCATTGTATTTGGGACTTGGGTATCGGTGCTGATGCTGCCGTTGTTAGCGTGGCTGTTCTATTATTAGTCTGTCTGCATCTATGTTGCTATTGCTACCTGTTTTGTGCTACACTGGTGTGATGCTTGTTGGTGTCATTGCCTCCCTAAGGAGCACATGCCTCATTTCCGGGCGACTGACTGGCAGCGCCGCCCGAAGCACTTTACAGGCAACCCGGCAGGTGTGAATAATTGTGAACACTACAGTAGGGTTACCGGATCGATAGTAAAGTCTTGGTGCATATAAGTAAGGGCTCCTTCTGAATATTGGTGAATGCTAGCGGTGTCCTTATGACATGAGGATACTAGTAATATAAAAGCTGAACTGAATACGAATATCTTTCGTTTCCTTACTATAACGATACCATAGCATACCCCCCAAACCCCATTCTTGTTGTTAAGGCCCCTACATGAACTGAGCATGCAGCCTAAACCGATGCCCAAAATCCTAAGCTCCAAAAGGGTTGACTTAACGGTTCATGGGCCTTAGTATCTACGGCTATAAATAAGGTAAGTCGACTTATAAGTACTTATAGCCCGAATTAAAGTACTTATAACTGTACTTATTAGTTCCCATGAACCTCCAAGTAGGGTTTTGGGTGCAAGCCCCGAGCCCTAGACCTAAAGTCCCTGCACCCTTACAGGACCCACTACCCTACTCTAAACCCTAAACCCGAAGCACTAAACCCTAAACCCTAAACCTAACCTAAAGGGCCCAAGTACCAATGTAACAGGCTCTCAGTAGACTTTGGGGCTCATATAACACGGTTTAGGGTTTAGGGTGTAGGGTAATATAATAGTTACTACTGTTACGCCGAAGTAAGGTCACATTCCTTGGGGGCTCCTTTCACAGTTATGCTGGAAGATACCCTCCCCCAAGATGCCCCTACTCATTCCATGTAACAAAAGGCCCCTGCATGAAAGCCTGGGCCAATGAATAGCCCTTTCTCTTATTATTTGGTTTCTGATACTGTTGATGGACAAAATTCTGCATGACCCAGAAAGAGTATAGTACCATAAATCCCATAGTTCAGGTATATAAGGTCATGCAGGATTTTGTCCATCAACCGTAGGGAAGCCCGAAAAGGCGAAGGGGCAAAAGGGTGATACTCAAAAGCCCAATAGTTAAGGCCCCACGCCCCTATAATATCAAACTAATGCCCCGAGGCCCTGTAAACCCTAAGCCCTGAACATCCCTAAACCCTAAATCCATAAATCCCTAAACCCTACACCCTACACCCCTAAAGCCCTAAACCCTAAACCCTACGTTAAGGTCCACCTGCCATCTGGGCGCTTTCTCCTTTGCCCCGTCTGCTTAGGGCCGGGGCCCCTCGGGACCGATGGGATCGGCCCAGAGGCTCGTCTTAGGGGTTTGGGATGGATAGGGTTGTAGGGCTTCGGGTTTAGGGTTTCGGCTTTGGGTTCATGGTTTAGGGCAGTTTAGGGTTTCGGATTTAGGGTTCAGGGATGGGTGGGGTTTAGGGGGTTTAGGGGTTAGTTAGGGGTTCGGGATTTAGGGGTCTAGGGTCTTCAGAGGGGTTCTGGGTTTTTCGGGTTTAAGATGAACAGGGTTTATGTGCAGCTGGCTCTTGAGACTAGGGGTAATTGTCCCGTTTGGGGGCCGGTACAAGCAGAATTCTGCTGTTGAGGTTTAGGGCTTAGGGTTTTGTATAAAGACCCCTTCACTTTCGGGGACTCACACATGGTGTCGTGGTGCATCACAGCATTTTAGGTTAAGGGTCGGTTTGGCGTTCCAGGGTATATAGGGCCCACGAATTAAAGGGCTCGGGCTTCAAGATCAGGGAAGTTGCGGAAGGGCTTTGGCCTGGTTCGGGGGTCTTGGGGCTTTGCGCTCACAGGGTTTCGAGAGAAAGCGGTTTGGAAGTTGAGCTTTCAGGCTTTTGGTTGGCAATGGCAGGGTTTGGGGATTCCACTGTCATTAGAGCTTGGAGTGCGACGTTGTTCGGTGTTGTATATCAGATATTCGAACATTATGAAAACTCGCTCTATAACAACAGCAAGAACAACATCAACCATCCTAGCGAGGCTATAACGGGCAAGACAAAGCCTGAGATCACATCAGAACTGCATCGTGAGAACCTTTCTCTAGTGTAGCCGAATCAGCACAAATAGCATGTGATTCACCTGGCAGCCATCAGCACCAACGTCTGTAGAACCCCTTTACGGCATGACGTGAACAAGCATGCTATTGAGCAGAGAGGGTGAATGGTGTTGGCCCCCCAGTTCCCAATTAAATAATGAATACAATAATAATGAAAATACAATCAAAGTTCTAACTTATCACCATTAATTATTAAGGCCCCTACATTACCTCGTTACCAAACTGAACCCGAAACTCCAAGCCCTAAAGCCCTAGCCCTATACCAAACTGAACCCTAAACCCTGACCCCTAAAGCCGTATACCAGACTGAACCCTAAGCCTAAGCCCTCAGAATCAATCCCTAAACCTTAAACCCTGAGCCTAAGCCCTAAGAATGAATCCCTAAACCCTAAACCCGGAGCCCAAGCCCTAAGAGTGAAACCTTCCAGGCCTCGTCATGGGCCCTCCGGGTGCACAGTTCGCATCCTGTTGCGTCCCAGGGCCGAGAAAGATGGGGCTTTTCGGTATCATCTGGGGCATCGAGACTTTCAATACGGCTTTAAAACACATTCTGCCATTGTGATAGAGGACTCTAACGGAATTTTTGGTAATTATCCTGACTCCCTCATGACAAGGCTTGCAGGGCCCAGTGTACAGGCGTTGCGGGTTTCCGGATGCAGCGTTGATAAGATGGGGGTCTGGGCTTCTCGGCATCAGTATGTGGGTGTAGGGTTTAGGGTACAGTGTCCAGTATGGTGGTGACAGGTACTGCTGCAATTGAGGTGGTACGATTTACGTATGGGGTGAGCTGCAGCCAGTGAGGGCATCCGCATGCAGGACCCACGTGTCGTACAGCACACACACCCCAACTGTGCAATGTAGTAGCTACTGTATTATTATAGTTCACGGACTTTAAAACAGTCTTTCCTTGTCCGATGCTGAGAACCTGTCGAAACTTTCTTCACAATAGATCTCTGTTGAGCGGTTGCAGCTGTTCACCCGACGCCACCCTGATTCGTGCGGTTTAGGGGCACCGCGGTTGTCAAGAAGAGCCATTGCTCTTTGCATGCGCCGTTTGGCCAGCCGTACACACGAAGGCCTTCAGCTGGCATTTGATCCGGCGAATGAGGCGTAAGTAAGGTTTTACGTTTACAGGTTCGGGTTCACGTTTGTTTGGCTTGCGGTCTGCCATAGGCACTCAGACTCACAATGGCAGCATCCATCAATTTCCCTTGACCCTTTAGTGACAATCGATTCATGCAGCAGTCATGTTCATGTAGTTTCTACCTCGGACTTGGCAGAAGACTCCTAGGCATGTCGCTGAACCTTACCATCCCAAACCCGGATCGTCGGCAGTGACTGCTTGCATAAGATCCTAACGCCCTAAACCTCAAACATCACACCCTTAGACCCGCGACCCTCTTGTAAAAGCATGTTATAGTAGCCATCTTGTAACCCTTGTAGTCACCGTCAAATGCCCCCCCCCCCCCCCCCCC